AATAGATTACTTCATACCCCACGTAGACTAGACCAGAACTGTCAAACTGGTTCTCATTCAGTTACCCCACAACAGGCGATGAAAGACTCCAGCCAGCAAACCAGGAGCAGATTATCAGATGATAAGGGCAGTGCACAACAATCCGGAGCAGGTGAAAATACGGCTGATACTAGAGCTTATGTCACTCACCGCACTGACCACATATCGCTAATGGTGTTACCAGCTGTTATCAAGAATGATAAGAAAGAACTGAAGGTTAACGTTATGTTAGACCCTTGTTCCACCAGTTCATATGTGACTGAAGCTGCTGCCGAAGAATTACAATTGAACGGAGAAACGCATGAACTGACAATCTCGGGTACTGGTGGATCCCAAGTTAAAAAACAGTCTAAACAAGTAAACTTGGTTGTCACAAGCTTAAACAGAAACTTTTCAGAGAATTTATCTGCTAATGTCCTGGACAATATAACTGGAGACACACCCGCTTTTAACTGGGCAGACTTGAAAGCAAAGTGGCCCCATTTGGCTTCCATTTCCTTTGAGCAAACTTCAAGACGAAAGCAGATAGATGTGTTGATAGGCAGCGATCACCCATTGTTTCACCATGTTCTGAAGGAAGTGCACGGTAGTAAAACTACAGACCCAATAGCAAGACTTACCAATTTAGGTTGGGTTTGCTTTGGGCCTACCATCGTTGAGGAACACCGGCGTAAATCGCGTTCATATTTTACACGTACTTACCGTTCAAGCCAGGTTGAGCAGCCAACCGTTCAGCAACAAGACCACCAGCTCCGACAATTCTGGGAGCTTGAAGCTCTGGGAATCAAGGACACTGACGACAGAACCTTTGATGAGAAAGAAGCAGTAGTCAAGGTAACAGAGAGTACAATTTATGACAAGGGAAGATATTCTGTGGGAATCCCTTGGAAGAAAGAAGAACCAAACTTGAACAATAACTATGATATGGCGTTAATAAGACTTAAGAGTCAGGAGAAAGCGCTCAAAAGAAAAGGCTCCGAAGCAACGCACACATATAACAAGATAATTGAAGATTATGAGAAGAAGGGTTATGTGAAGAAGATAGAAAAGACCAATGAAATAAACCAATGGTTTTTGCCACATTTTGCTGTAATCAAGGAAGAAAGAACCACTACAAAGACAAGAATTGTATTTGATGCTGCAGCAAAAGATCGTGGCAAAAGTTTAAATGACGCAATTCGAGCTAGTCCTAAGCTTCAAAAGGACTTATTGAACGTTCTGATACGATTCAGACGCTCCCCTATCGCCTTATCAGGAGATATTTCAGAGATGTTCTTACAAGTAGGCTTGTTGAAAGATGATCGCGCTTATCATCGATTTCTTTGGCGTAATTTAGACGCATCCCGAGAACCTGATATGTACGAATTCCAACGGCTAGTGTTTGGCAACACAGCGTCACCATTTTGTGCACAATTCATCGTCCAGAAACATGCGAAGGATAAAGCAGAACACTATCCCGAAGCTGCAGACACGGTTAGCAACTCCATGTACGTAGACGACGTTCTCGATTCATGCGAGACTTCCAAAGATGCCATAGAATTAAGGAGACAACTTTCAGAGTTGTTGAATTCGGCGAGTTTCCGACTTCGAAAGTGGTCATCGAATGACAAGTCAGTACTAGAAGATGTGCCAGAGGAAGATCGACAACCCGGATTAGAGATACGAGAAGATGGACGTCCAACAGGAAAAGTGAAGACCCTCGGAGTGACATGGAAATCCGAAAACGATGTATTCACCTTCAACGTCGAAATACCAGAGATCAAGGAGATAACCACGAAGAGAGAAGTATTAAGCGCAATTTCAACTCTGTTTGATCCTCTTCAATTTCTTTCACCCTTTACAGTAAGAGCCAAAATCCTTATGCAGGACATATGGACTGCTGGGCTAGATTGGGATGATCCACTACCGAGGACCCTATTAGACCGTTGGCATAACTGGGTGAACGAGTTACAACACCTTTCCTCCTTTGAGATTCCACGATGTTTGCGACATCCCTCCCCTGATGAAATAGAATTACATATGTTCTCTGATGCTTCGAAGGATGCCTATGCAGCTTGTGCTTATCTCGTTTGTCGTTATGAAGGAAACACACCAACATCAGTATTGATTGCATCGAAGAGTCGAGTTGCACCAGTTAAATCGATGACTATTCCTAGACTTGAGTTGATGGGAGCGGTTATTTCAACTCGTTTGGCAAATACCATACTCAAGTCAATTGTAGTATCCAAAGTGATTTACTGGACAGATTCTACGAACGTTCTATATTGGGTGAGAAACCAGAGTCGCAATTTCAAAACCTTCATCGCCAACAGAATCGGGGAAATCCAAAATTCGACAAACCCAGAACAGTGGAGACATGTCCCGGGAGAACTCAACCCCGCTGATTTGGCAACTCGAGGAATAAAGGTTTCTGAGCTAGCATAGAGCAGAGTATGGAAAGAAGGACCACAGTTCGTTTTAGAAAATGAGACAAATTGGCCTGCACGCGTACCTGGAATGGATACATTATCAAGTGACACGAAAGAAGAGTGTAAAATGGTGCGAACAAATGCCACTCAAGCATTGGACAGTAACGAATTGAATCCACAGAACTTTTCAGATTTCAGACGACTTGTTCGTGTAACAGCATGGGTACGGCGTTTTACGAGCAACTGCAAATGTCGACCAGAGCAAAGAGATCTAAGCAAAAGTTTATCGATTGGAGAAGTAAAGAAAGCAGAATTTTATTGGTTCAAACGTGCACAAACAGAAAGGTTTCAAGACACTAAAGGACGGAAAAGTCTGGAGAACTTGAATCCCATGAAAGACGAGGATGGACTTCTTCGTATAGACGGACGCTTACGCCATGCAGACATACCGTACGAAAGTAAACACCCAGTGATTTTACCCAAAGAACACCCTATCACGGAACTTGTAGTAAGAGCGGTTCATGAACAACTCGGACATGGTTCTGGAGTAGAACACACTCTTTCCGAATTACGTAGTAGGTTTTGGGTGATAAGAGGACGGGCTGTAGTACGTAAAATTCTTAATCATTGCCAAGTGTGTAAGAAACGCTTTACTGCTAAACCTATTGGTCAAATGATGGCACCGCTGCCGAGACCAAGAGTAATTTCATCGATGAAAGCCTTTTGTCGAGTAGGAGTAGACTACGGAGGCCCATACCTGACAAAACAAGGTCGCGGCAAGAGTAGAGCAAAAAGATATCTCTGTTTATTTACTTGTCTCGTGACACGCGCGGTACATTTGGAAATGGCCTATGCATTAGACACAGATTCGTTTATGAATGCATTCGCACGGATGGTGTCACGGAGGGGGACGCCTTCGTACGTTTTATCAGATAACGGTACCAACTTCGTTTCAGGAGAACGAGAACTGAGAGAACTTGTTGAACAATTAGACCAAGAGAAGATTGTTCGGGACAGTTCGCGATTCTCTCACATCGAATGGCATTTCAACCCTCCAGCTAGCCCACATTTCGGTGGAGTATTTGAAGCCATGATAAAAAGTGCCAAGAAAGCTATAAAAGGCATCCTAGGAAATGCGGACGTCTCCGATGAAGAGCTACATACAGCCATTTGTGGGGCAGAGAAGTTATTGAACTCGAGGCCTATCACGTACGTAAGTTCGGATTCCAACGACTTATGTCCTCTCACTCCCAATCATTTCATCCACGGACAGCTTGGAGGAACATTTGCGGTGGAGGCAACTGAGGAAGAAACGTTCAACCCCCGCAAAAGATGGCATCGTGTTCAACAACTAATCGGTCAAGTTTGGAAACGTTGGAGAAGGGAATTGCTCCCGACTTTAAATCGTAGAAAGAAGTGGTTTCATCCCACACGTAATATGAAGGAAGGAGATATTGTTTTAATGATTGAGCCAAATGCAAATCGCTGTGACTGGCCGTTGGGACGTATTACTGAGACTTTTCCTGGGAACGATGGCTTGGTGCGAGTGGTCAGAGTTAAAGCTAAAGGAAAGGAGTATTTGCGACCGGTTCATAGATTATGCCCTCTTGAGTACGTTTAGTAATAAACCCGAGGATATGGAGGAGATTGTACAGAATTACCTGCGAAAGAAACGGACAGTTATGAAACTAAACTGACAACATAATTTCATATTAGCGGAGTTAGTTACTCCTAGTTTTGTTAAAGTTTTACGAATGTTAGACTATCTCGAATGTTACACATTCGGGAGGGGGATGTTACGAACAGATTACTATAGATAAGATGAAGTAGTTATAGTTTCCCGCCATATATCGCGGGCTCGGACACGTTGGGGAAAATAGATTTTATACTTTTATATTCTAACCGAGTTGGCGGTTAAAAATGCAATAAATTTGTCATAAGAATAGAGATTTTGAGTTAAACTAGGCAAGAACCAGCAAATCAAACTACGTTCTCAAGTTGGTGAGAACATATATATTAAGATGAAAATGTTCTAGAGTGTGTATTATATAATTTCCATACCCAGCGCAAGCAGAAAGATGTTGTCTACCGCGGCTGGGTCTCGAACCCGCGACCTTCGAATTACTAGATCGACGCTCTGCCTATACTGAGCTACACGGTCAGACGGATTTAAGACTGGAAATTATGAAATACAGAGTGTACAATAACACAACTAACATATATATATATATATATATATATATATATATATATATATATATATATATATATATATATATATATATATATATACTATATATATAATATATATATATATATATATATATATATATATATATATATATATATATATATATATATATATATATATATATATATATATATATACTATTTAAAGCACGCGTAGGAGTGTTTGATCACATATAAAACACGACGCGTAGCAGAGTGTTTTATATGTGATAAAACACGACTACAAGTGCTTTAAATAGCTTAAAAAACGACTTATCTTATACGAGTTCATTGGCGAAGCAATTTTTAAAATAAACTTTGTCTAAACCGAGAAAATCAAAGCTAAAGTTTATGTAAATTAACGTGATTTTTTATCACATATAACAACGACACGCTTATGATTTTTCTTTGTGTTTTGTTCCTGAATTATTAATGAGTTTTTTAAATATATATATATATATATATATATATATATATATATAATATATATATATATATATATATATATATATATATATATATATATATATATATATATATATATATATATATATATATAGTTTTTCGTTTTACCTATATTACGCTCTATCTATATGGTATTGAGCATTGTTTGTGTTTCGTAAACCAAAATCTTAAGCTATATATATATATATATATATATATATATATATATATATATATATATATATATATATATATATATATATATATATATATATATATATATATATATATATATATATATATATATAATTTCATAAAGTAATTTCCCGTTTTTAAGAATAAAGAGTGCTCAATACAAGACAATTGTAGAGCATATAATAATAATTTAATATTTTAATACAATTTTTCAATTGAATAAGTTGCTACTTTAAGTTTCATGCAACAAGCAATCATCAGGCAACATATTAATACGGTTAAGTTGTTGCGTTTTACTACTCGCAATGTTTGCTGACGCGTGTTCGTTTGAATCGTCCCGCGTGGAATCTGCGCGCATGCACGCATTTCATGAAAATTTCGCTACGTTTATTTAAATTAGACCGAGAATTATAACTACGGAGTATTTGCAATTTCTCTTCTAAACATAAATTGCAACTATTTCCACCGGCTTTGATTGAACTTGCTCGGGATAAGATGGACCACTTGATATTAAATTGTTTTCTATTTAGTTTTAGTTTCCAAACATGTTTAGAAAGTTCAGTTTCATTCTCGTATTTAATATCATTGAATGATTTCTTGTGATTTCTGTATCTCTCCTTAAATGTTGTCGCTGTCATACCAATGTAGGTTTTTATATCGTTGTTGTCTTTCGTTTTTACCTCGGCTTGATAAACTAAATCTTTCGTCAAGCACATGTTGTTAAGCGGGCATTCGTTTACATTTCTGCAGTTACAAAGTTTTTCAATGTTGTTATCGTTGGTAGATTCTTCGGATTTAGATTCTCTCAATACGCGTTTGTTATGTCTCGATATGACGCACTTTACATTATTCATACAGCTATAGCTAACTTTGATCGTGTTTCGGTTGAAGATCTTATGAAGGGGTGATGTTTTGGGAAAATGTTTGTCGATTAATTTCAAGAAATCTCGGGCGACATTGGTTCGTACGTTTTTACTATACGGCGGGTTGAACCAGATAATTCTTCTTGTGCGTTTATGTTTCTCGTTTTGCGATCGACTTTCGGTTGTAGACGTTGTTTCAGCAGCTGAGTATTCAAAGTATTTGACTGGTAGAGCATGGCTTTAAACTTTAACCATATTAATATGTTGCCTGATAATTGCTTTGTTGCATATGAAACTTAAAATTTAGCAACTTATTCAATTGAAAGTGTATTAAAATATTAGAGTATTATATATATATATATATATATATAGTTATCCACAAACCAGTATTCTGGTCAGAGTGGAAGTGGAAATAATAGCCGGTAAATATCAGAGAAGTTGACACTTAGACTTTAATTTATAATTAAATAACCCTGTTAACTGTTAAGAAATTGAATATTTGAACTGTATAAGTTCCTTTTAGGATTCTAGTATATTAAACATAAAATGCGATGGACGAAAATGCTTGACGTAGTTGACTAAGAGTAAGCCTTAGAGTGATGTTGGGTCTGGCCCTGTGGGATACGAAAAGCCAACTAGTTAAGTATCCAGATTTAGGATACTGGATTATTGGGAGGGATACCAAATTTTAAAACCTTGGTATCCATGTGGATACTTAAAAAAAAATCAAATTTCAGACCCT